AGTAAGGTAAGCATGAATCAACAAACATGTACAAGGTTTACATTAGATCAAAGCATGCTTGGATACAAGTTAACATTCTCAATATGAACAAGACAATGATACTTAAATCATTGGACAAGTTTCAACAAGATGCTCATCTATATATGGAGAAAAACACACATAGAACATGAGTTACAAGACAATATTCAATATGAATTATCTAGGGTAAACATGGCACATCGTCCTTATTTACAACATGTGTACACAAAGACAAATATCAACACAAGTGAAAGAGATCAAGGCATGGTCTCATCATAAGCTTTTAGGTCAAGCATTCAATTTAAGCAAGTTCTAAACACATGGACACTTTGAAACAAGTAAGAACAAGTATCAACCATTTATAGTCTTCAAAACACAACCAAAATGACATTAAAAACAAACACATTATCATCACCCCAATATGATCACACAAGACAATACTAAACATGGAACAAAGGGTGAGACATGATTTAAGTCAAGAAATTAGTCAAACAATCAACAAACCCTTATTCAATAAACAACTTTAGAACAAAGCATGAATGTCACAAGTAAGAACAATTTTAAAGCACTTAACAAAATGACACATTCAAATGAATCACATACATGAATACAAGACCTAGCATATAATTAAGAGATGAATTTTTAGGTATTAAAAATAAAAGGATAAACTATTTTGTGATTTTTGAAAATAAAAATATAATAAGTACTTAAGTTAATAAAAATATAATTATATTAATTTAAAAAGGTGTGAACAAAATAAATGTAATAAAATTATTTTAAGTATTAAATGGTATATAGAAAATAAAGAAAAGGATTAAATAAAATTAGAAAAGAAAGTTAAATAATTAAAAAATAAAATAAATAAAAAGAAGAAAAAAAACAAGTGATTAAAAAGAAAATGGGGGCGGCTAAGTTTGAACTTACGCCCCCAAGGTCACTCCACAAAATCAACCAAACCACTGGGACATGCCACATGGTCTGTCATTTTTTCGCTTCAAATAAAACAAATATTAAAAAAAGATCTAAAAATGAAAATACACACGAACAACTTCATCGTCAACCTTGGAACATCAGAAATTTCAAATTTGTGATTTTCCTATTTCTGATCAAACATGGAAAGTAAATATAGCATCTTACTCAGAATTTAACAAAAAGTTCAAATATGCATTCACATTTCACTTATTTTCTCTCTATCTCAAGAATTTCAGAAATAACCAGTATGAACCCTAATCCTTCTAATAAAAATTAAATGTCAGTTTTGCACAATTAATCCACACAAGTTTATGGCTATTGATCCTTACATCCTAACAAATAGAATGGTAACTTGAATGGATGTGAATGATGCTCAGATCATGGAGTTTGAAAAGGTCAAGAAGCTTACCTCTAGGAGAATGTACAATGCACCTTCAAAGTTGTTCCAAATACAAGATGATGATTGCTTTAGCTCCACTAGACTCTCAAGAAGGTGTTTGAATGATTTGCTTGCCTTAGAATACCTCCAATTCTTCTGCTCGAATCCACTTGCAAATGGTCGAAAGTGAAAAAATGATTCTGGTGATGGAGGTGTTACACATTGTATTTGATGATTTGGAAAGCTTCTATGATGTATTTAGAAGGTGTTTGAAAGCTTTGAGTGGAAGGAAATGGCAAGGAATGAAAGATGGACAGTTTTGGCTCTTTGGTCAACAACGGTGACCAAAGAAAGTTGACTTCTGGTTTTAGGTGGTTTGAGATGTTTTGATGAGTTTGAACATGTTATGTGAAGTATTTATGATTGTGTTTGAATGAAGAGTTTGAAGATTTATGGACTGTAATAGGTTTTAGAAGCTTTTGGATTTTTGGTGAAAATGAAGAACAAGAATGCTTCAATGTGATACTTTCCAATGCTGAGATTTTCTTAGCTCAACTATTGTTGTTTGCATCTGATATGTGAGGATATATTTATAGGGGAACAAACCTAATAAAGTTGAAAAGGTTTGGAAGAAAGTGGAATCATGATCCATTGGATAAAGATGCTTTTACATAAAGCTTGTGCAAGTATAACTAGCCTTTTGGTTTCTAGTATGGCTGCAAGTTGACTTCTCTTAAGTGTCTTTCAACTTGTACAAGTTGTTGGTGATGTTCAGATCAGGTTCCCTAACTTAAGGAGAAAGCAAAAGTCAAAATACAAATTTTAACCATTGTCCACAATGTAATGCAGTATAACATGTTGGATGATGCTTTTCTTCAATGAATAAGGATCAATTTTGTAGGAATTTGGTACCATTAGAAAGGATTTCATGATAATGAACAAGTTCCAAGTTGGACAGTTGCTCTGAAAATGCTTGGAAGATGGGAAAAACATGTCTCAAACTCGTGTAAAAATTTGACCCCTTCCTTGATGCAAAATCTGACTTGGATCAAACTGCCTAACCATGGCCACTATGCAACCTTGTAACTTCATGATCAAGTAAGATAATTTCATGCTCTTGGTATCATAAGAAAGATGAGATCACATAATACAACTTTGATGTTGATCACTTGGAAAGAATCAAATTGAATCTTTGAGAAAACCTATCATCGAAATTGGAATTTTCACTGGTTTATACTTGGAAAACATTCTAAGTATTGACATCTTTCACATCTAAAAATCTCAACTTTGATCAATCACAACTTTCAATTGATAAATTCTTTTGGGTTCATTCTTTCACCAATTTGAAGTATGTGATACCATATTTAAAAGGAGTCCTCAAATGTTTTTATTGGATGCTTGAGGAACAAGTTATGGTCTTGGAAAGTAGGTCACTTATTATGGAATTTTGCAACTTAGAAAAATTCACAAAACCTTAATTTTCACAACTTTGAATCCTTTCTTGATTTTCTTGATTTGTGGAGTCCATGTTTGACCAAAAATCTTAAAATTTAAACCTTGACTTTGATCACAGTTGACTTTTTCAATTGTCAACGAATCAAGTTTCTTGAACCAATCCAAACATATGTATGGACTAAGATGATGTACTTGAGGTCTTTGAATCATATCTTAAAGTGTGAGATCATGTCTTGCTCAAAAAGTCAACTCAGGGTTGAACTAGGTCAAAACCCTAATTTTGTGCATCAGATGACTTGGAGCTTGTTAAATTTGAGTCTATGAAACTTTGCACTTGATTGTTGATGGAATATGACATTTGATAATGTTGAGATGTTGAGGATTACCTAGGTCCTTGATTGGTCAACTTCTTGAACTCTTGGGATCAAAACCTAGCTTGCAGTCAAAGTACAGCAAGACACATACTCTTGTGTTTCAAAAGAGGTTAGTAATGCATAAAACACACATGAGATGATTGATGTCATGCCAAGATGATCCAAATGAGGTGAAATCTTAGGGTTAAAAATTAGGGTGTGACACCGCCATTTACATTCTGTTGAAGTTATTTCCTATATCAGCTTCAAGTCTTCGATTGGAGCATGTTCTTATTAATTTCAATTTATTTACATTCTTATTGTCTTATTTATTTGTTATGATTTACTTCATTTTGTTTTTATCGCACTTCTTTACTTTATTTATTTTTATTGCACTGCTTTACTTTGTTTATTTCATTGCACTATTTTACTTTGTTTACTTTTACTGCACACTCTTTATTTAAATCAAATCACTTATTATGTTTAATTCCTTTTTTTAAACAAAAGCAAAAATGTTTACCGCAACCATGTCCGACTAATTTTATTAGTGCTAGAATGTGAGGATCGTGATTCGACGGTACTCCATATGTTGTTTCTATAGAGTTACTATTGAGGCTGTTTTGATTTTAATACAATTTTTCCATAATTAATTTTCTCAGTTACTACGAAAGTAGAATCGTGACATGTCGGATAAGATTGAAAGTCGTCTGACACTTAAGATTAAAGTTGAATAATTTTTGGTTAATAAAAATTGCGAAAGCACTTTGTTAATTAATTAGGAGAATTTAATATTACTAGAAGGGGATTTTGAAACTATTTTCGGACGTGTTTATAGGTTTAGAATCCGGTTGTCCGAGCAAATGTCGGAGACCCTTTTAAGTTAATGTTTCTAATCAAGACTATTTTTCAACTGAGTTAAAGAAGTGACTACTAAAAAATAATTTTCTACTTTAACGCAATAGGAAACCAGTTACGCGGGAGCCGACGGTGTAGATTTAAAAATTAAATCTGGTTTCAAAAAATCGAAAGTGACGGTTCCTTTTTAATTAAATTCTTTTTCTTAGAAGAAAATATTGCTCCGTAGGTAGTTCTATTTAGAGATAATAAGAGTGATGTTGATTGACGAAAGCCACATTTCAGTATTACACCTCCGAATTAATTAAATTTTTATTATTCTATTTTGTTTTTATTCCATAACCTTTTACGATAGTCTTAGATAAACACCGTTACAATAAAAAATTATAAATTGACCATTAGGTCTCTGTGAAATTCGACAATCTTTTATATTATTCTAATACATTCCATATACTTGCGGATAGCACGCATCACCTGACCCTACCACGACTTGTGCCCTCATTATCCCATTGATCTTCTCGAAACTCCTCTTCCTACTACTAAAGTTCCTCCATATGTGCTTGTGCTCCATCCGCGTTCGGTTGATTAGAGTTTTTCTTTCTTTAATTGATAAGTGGTGTTATAAACATGAAACACGAGTCAATTTCTTAATTTTCAAGTTCTACCGAGCTATCTTTAGCTAATTCTAACACTTCCACCACCTTGGTGGTTTTGAAAATCTCCAACATACCTTACATTTGACTGTATTTAAACTCGTCTAACTTTCAATCAACAGAATGGATACCGCCTTATTCTAACTCGCGTATCTAACAACTCGGCTACAATTTTAAACAAAACAAAAACTATTTTCATGTTAATTTAACTAATATAATAGTCGCAACATTACAATATTTATGAGCCGGATCAGGTTAACTAGCTAACTTCCAAATGTTCAACAAAAAAGCCTAAGTTATAAATTATCTTAACTTCTAAATATTCATGGGTCTATAAAATCTATACATATTATTATCAGTGACCGCTGTAGTAGCAGTATTACCTATATCTTTGTTGCAGCAACACACTTTGTTTCTCAGAAACCCTAGACTGTAACACAGACACACACCATGACTAGGAGCAACCTTTGTTTCTTCTTGGTCATCACCATCTTGTGGCTGTTGTAATTTTAACTTTTCTGGGAAAATTTGAGGATGCGACGAAGGAAGACCAATGGAAAGGTCCAAGTTGAGTTGTTGATGCTGATAAGCTTCCTGATCAGAGCTAACTCCGCTACTGCTATTTGAATTTGAATCTTCACAAACCAATTTGGTTCCATTAGTCTTTGTATTGGCATAGTTATCTTTATTGCTGTTGCTAACAATGCTAACATCTTTGATGATAATGTTGTTACGAGCTTGTGGTGGAACCACGTAGTCCTTAAGCGGTCGATGAGTTTGAGGATCAACTCCACGGTTGTAGAGTTTTCTCTTGATGTGAGTGTTCCAGTAATTCTTAATCTCATTATCGGTTCTTCCTGGTAACCTCGCAGCTATTAGTGACCATCTGCATAACAATAAATATATTTTGAGTTTTGATAAATAAAATTATCGATAGTTTATACAAAAATAGAAGACAAACGGGTAAGTAACTGTCACATGGTGACTGATATATATGTTCATACTTGTTTCCAAGTAAGTTGTGGAGATTGATGATAAGATCATCTTCTTGTTCAGTAAAGTTTCCTCTCTTAAGATCAGGTCTAAGGTAATTAATCCATCTGAGTCTACAACTCTTGCCACATCTCAGCAAGCCTACAATGAATCAATAATGATATCAAATTCTCAACAATATAATCAGAGCCGTCTCAAAATTTTGAAAGCTATGTGTAAATTACTAGCAAATTACTAGCAGTTTAATCATGACAAAACTATTTAACATTTTATGACATGGTGTAGTTTCTCGTCTTACACGTACTCAAAGACGGTGCTGAATATATAATATATTGAAAGAGATATGAGGAAGACGGTATAATATTAGATATATACCAGCTGCTTTTGGAAGAGATCTCCAACAACCTTCACCGTTGGTTTTGATGTAGTTAATGAGACGTTGATCTTCTTCTTTTGTCCAAGCACCTTTGTTTGTGTGTTGTTTCTCGCAGCAAGGAGATCTACCCATGATGGTTTGGGGTGAAAGAGAGAGGGGAATGAGAATTGTGAGAGAGAAAAGAGGATATAAATGGGAGGTGGTGATGAAAGAAAGAAGGAAAGGAAGAGGAGTGGGAGGAGTAGTAATGAAATGGAAGAGAGATTTGACCGAGTTGGTGAGAGACACGAGTGGTTAGAATTCACTTATTAGTAATGCTCGATCGCTCCATTTGGTAGGTAGATGTTGCTCTACTTTTATTTACATCTTCTCCACCTCACCATCCTTCTATTACTTCTTTTATTCATACTTCTCCCATGTGCATACTCCACTCTTTTCTTCTTTCTAAATTTAAAATACATGCATCTATTATTTTAATAATAATAATAATAATGTGAATATTAGTTTATTAGCTTTTGTGAGATATGACATGTTATCACATTTAATGTTATATTCATGTTATTTTAAATGGATTTAACAAATCAATAAACTAATAAAATTATATTCTTTTTTATATTTATCTTGATAAATTAAAAAATATAATTATATATAATAATATATTTAAAGATAATATTAAATTATGTCCTTTAGGCACACTGTTTCTTATAAGCAAAAATACATTAACGGATGCACAATGAGCGCTCAATCCTAATACAAAATAAAGATAATATTAACATAAACAATACAAAATATTTGTCATTTAAACTCTTTCGGGAGTTATGAGAAAAATAATGAAGACTTTCTTCTGCTAGTGCCTGTATCATGATTAGACCTATCTTTCGTATGCCTTTGAACTCTTGGTTATTTAGGAATCCATTTGCGCCTTGTGGCCGACACCAATCCGAAGTAAAGAACTTCACCATGCTCAGACCGAAGTTAAGGAAACAACTATTAAAAAAAACGAGTTGAAAGTAAAAACTACCTTGGAAGGTACGGTGTGTATGTGACTGGCGTGTGGGTGCATTTGATGGACAAAAAACTAAATTTTGTTCAATGATGCATTTTGAAATCTTGAAAAGATTATGCAAATGATTGTTGAACTGTCATGATAGTGGTTAATAATAAAACCGAAACGAAGAATATCTTAACTATTACGAATGGTGTAAATATCTTTTTGTTCTTTATTTAGAGAGGTCAACATCGTTTTAGTAAATTTTTGAAGATTGTATTTGGATTAAGGCACCAGTATCTTGTTGAATGACAATATTGCTTATAAATCATATTTTCATATTAATAAGTTAGTGTGGTAGCCGTACAAGATATTTTTCTTTTGATACAACAAAAAATAAATAAGTTTTTTTTTCAACTATTAACTTCTCTATTTTTTTATTATAAAAAACAAATATCTCTTCCATACTAACCTAAATTAGATATAGTGTCGTGTTTCACTCTATTTTTGTTGTTGATATTATAAAGATAAAAAAAATAAATTAAAATAGACGAAAAAACTCTATCTCCTTAAAAAAAAAATGAATCTTACAACATTTTCAAAATTGAATCCAAACTCATGAAATTTAGTTATTGGAAAGAAATCAAAATCATCTTATCAAGTGATTTTGGGCTAATTAATTAAATCAAGTACATTATATATCTTTGTTTCCTCATAAAGCTTTCTAGAACATTGTTAAAAGAAAAGATTCTAGAAGCATTTCTCAACTAATTCCACTTTACTCTTGTCAATTCAAGTTGATATATCACACTACATCATTAACGTCCCCACCATCCATGGTTGAGATTAGTTGTGATTCTTCGTATATCATTTTATTGTTCTTTCTTTCAATTCTTTCACCTACTAGACAAATTTAAATATAAGAACCAAAATTTGAACTTGCCTTAACGGTAACAGTTAGGCCAATTAATACTAAAAACCTCATCCCAATTCCAATATAAAAATTATTGAGGCTATAGTTGCATAGATATATTTGAACTAAAATATAATTGATTTTTTCTTTATAGTGGTCCCTTTTTTTTTTGATAATATCTTTATGTGTGGAGTACGTTTTGAGTAAATATTCCCGTGAAAAATGGTTTGCAATATAAGGAGATAGATATTGTTGTGGTAGTAGGTCAAACAACACTTGATGTTTATAATGTTTATAATGTCTAATCACATTATTGGTATAATAATATGTTGTCATTTTCAAATTCAACTAACATTTCTTTCGTATCCAACAGTGATTATGCAAAAATAATAGCCGGCCAATGTCAATTTTTAATTTTAAATGGACATGGTTGGTAAGGCTTACCTTCTTACCTAAAGTTTTTTGTTGCTTCTAGAAACATAGGAAGAAAATCACTATAAAATAAGGAAAAGAATATTGAGGGTTGGTCACCCACTTTCCCTCTGTCCACGGTTTTCCTACCTCATCTATTTGGTCCTAGCTAGGGCCATTCATATGTTTGCTCACCTCATGCTACACTCCATTCTAAAGTAGACTCATCATGCTTTTCAATTACTAGCATTTGTTTCGGTTTTAGTCGTAATCTTCTTATTATTAAAAATAATTTGTTTTTTTTTTTTTTTATAATTTTAAATTTTTTTTGATCCCATAATTTAAATAGGGTTCATATTGATCCATAAACTCTTTAAAATATATTATATTAGTTTTTTTCTCTATATATTTGCAATAAAGTTAGTGATCGATTATGAGCTTTTTTGTCGTTAATTAGACGTAAAAGAATTAAAATTATACGTTTTAAAGAGATAAGAGACTAATATGGACGATTTTTAAAGTAAGGAATCAAATGAACTTCGAGGTTAACAAAGATCAGGTAAAACGAACACTGATCTCTCGACCAAGGACTGGCTAAAACGAACATTGATCTCCTCCCAAACAGCAAGAACACGTCAAAGGGGTGTCGAAGATACTCATGTCGTTATTGGCTCAGATGCATGATAGGATTCTCAAGTCAGTCGGAGAAAGCACATGAGATACTCATAAACCTACAAAGATACCATAACCATGCTAAGAGGATGCTCAAGTCTTCATTTCCTTTAAAGTCACAAAATTACTTGAGAACGCTATATCATTCATAGATTTTCAAATCGACCAAATCACAACATGTCAAACCATAAGATAACTCCCTCTTATCCTAGACGTACCATAAAGCGAAGTGAACATATGAAAAACGGCACGCGATCTCTAAGTAAAACCAAGCACCACCCCCATCCAACTTAAAATGATATACCAAATATACACCACTACCTCACAAGTCACAAAAGATTAGAGGACGACTCAATAGCCTTCGAACAGATGGGGCATAAATCACCTCCCAAACCCAAATGGATCCCTCTCTTAAGTAAGTTCTCTCTAGTAGGAATCTAGTCTTGAAAAAGCTACTAGAAGAAAACAATAACTTTGGAGGAGAGCAGGCTATTCCATTTACTAGAAAAACTCCACACCATGGACGAGTCTTAATGAATAATTAGGAAGCTCCTTAGTGGGGAGGAAAGAATACCCATATGACATTGACTAAGACTCGTCGTTAGATTGACTCCACCACCATTTATCAAGAAGAGTTGATGGGATAAAATCCCTAATCACCAAGAGAATGATCTTCGTGCTCAAAAAGACATGCTCTTATCCACCTAAGGTCTCAGACCTAGGCCTGGCCTTTCCACATACCAACCTCCCTAAAGAATGATCTTCGTGCTCAGAGATAGAAAAAAAATCTATGATATTGGACATGTGACTTCATGCACAAGAGGGAAGGGGTTAAATTGCAGAGGTTTGAAAATCATTGATTTAAAATAAAATAATTTTTGAAATCAAAGGTTGAAAATAGTTTATAAATTGTTTGAATAAGTAGGCAGCTGAAATTCAAACTAAATAGATTAAGTGGAAAATAAAAGAGATAAGGGAAGAAAGAGATGATACCAAAGATTTATAGAGGTTTGGTCTAATGAATTGACCTACTCCTCTCCTCAAGAATTGATCTTGAGAGTATCTACTATTGCTTGAGATCTTTTAGAAAATAAAGCCCACGAACCCACTTATACAAGAAAATAAAGTTTTCAGGATAACTTCTAACCAAATAGCGAACAAGGATAGAAGTGGTTAATATCCAAGCCAAACAACAAACAAGCTTGAAGTTATTAGTCTTCAAACCATACAACAAATAGGGTTCAAGCAATAAGTCTTCACATCAAACAAATATTTTGCACATGTTGATCTTGAACCAAGATGGTGTTTTGAGTTGGCTATCCTCTGAACTCAACCGAGGTTTTATACGGGCTAACCATAAATAGAACTGAGATGTATACCAGGAGTATCTCGAACCTACTTAGCTTTCATACATGGTTTAACTCAGAAATAGAGTAAAATATTACACCGGGATGTTCTCGAACTAATAGACCTTTTAACTGGGTTAAGCTCAAGAACCGATATTGATATTTTCACTGGCTAATTTCCCCGAACCAAAATAGAGCATTTTCACAGACGAATCTCACCAACCAAATGAAGACTAAAACTAGTCCCCCGAACTGAGACTAAAAATAATCACTACCTTAGGGATATCAATTTACTCAAGAGAAAAAATCTAGTCTTGGTAACTCTACAGTTGTACTATCACCTAGAACAATATCTTCACTAAGACTCAAGAACACTCTCAACGCACTATGGCTAAAACATGTGAGAAAAACACAAATGATTCAAAGAGGTGATGAGAGAAGTGAAAAGTGGTGTTTTCACGTTTTCTAGATGTTTAAAAATGTTAGAGAAGCTCTCTTTTTATGTGTCAATGTGAGGTGTATAATTGGGAAAAATTCATAGGCCAAATTAATAGCCTAATCAATTAGACTAATTGATAAGGCAGTGTAGAAAATTGATAAATGTGGTTTGATTTGGAAGGTTTAGATATAAAGTCGTTACCAATCATTAAGTGACTATCATAACGGATTATAGACTAGATTAGGCATCTTCCAATCGGATAGGCATATAATCTAATTAGTTAGGCGGTTGTAAAAATTCTCCTAAGCAGTTAGACACTTTCCAAATTAATTGACTAGACTCTAAAAACATTTTCTGGTGATT